TTAGTGATTTTAATGTGTACCAGCATGCCAGCACAGTGTGGAAGTATATTTAGGTACAGGTACACACAAATATAATTATCAGAGTATATATAAAGAAAAATTGCAAAGGTTAGTGGACGAGTTTGGGAGAGTGTGTAAAAGTAGAAAGTTGAAAGTGAACATAGAAAAGAGCGAGGTGATGAGGGTATGAAATGATTTAGATAAAGAAAAATTGGATATCAAATTGGAAAAAAGGAGTATGGAAGAAGTGAATGTTTTCAGATATTTGGGAGTTGACGTGTCAGCGGATGGATTTATGAAGGATGAGGTTAACCATAGAATTGATGAAGAAAAAAAGGTGAGTGGTGCATTTGAGGTATATGTGGAGACAAAAAACATTATCTATGGAGGCAAAGAAGGGAATGTATGAAAGTATAGTGGTACCAACACTCTTATATGGGTGTGAGGCTTGGGTTGTAAATGCTGCAGCAAGGAGACGGTTGGAGACAGTGGAGATGTCCTGCCTAAGGGCAATGTGTGGTGTAAATATTATACAGAAAATTCGGAGTGTGGAAATTAGGAGGTGTGGAGTTAAAAGTATTAGAGTGCTGAAGAGGGATTGTTGAGGTGGTTTGGTCATTTAGAGAGAATGGATCAAAGAAGAATGACATGGAGAGCGTATAAATCTGTGTGGGAAGGAAGGCGGGGTAGGAGTCGTCCGCAAAAAGGTTGGAGGGAGGGGGTAAAGGAGGTTTTGTGGGCGAGGGGGTTGGACTTTCAGCAAGCATGCGTGAGCATGTTTGATAGGAGCGAATGGAGACGAATGGTATTTGGGACTTGACAAGCTGTTGGAGTGTGAGCAGGGTCATATTTAGTGAAGGGATTCAGGGAAACCGGTTATTTTTATATAGCCGGGCTTGAGTCCTGGAAATGGGAAGCACAATGCCTGCACCGTAAAGGAGGGGTTTGGGATATTGGCGGTTTGGAAGGATATGTTGTGTATCTTTATACGTATATGCTTCTAAACTGTTGTATTCTTGGCACCTCTGCAAAAACAGTGATTATGTATGAGTGAGGTGAATGTGTTGAATGATGATGAAAGTATTTTCTTTCTTTTTGGGTCACCCTGCCTCGGTGGGAGACGGCTGACTTGTTAAAAAAAAAAAAAATAGAAAATATGTAGTAACTTTAGATCACTTGAAATTTTGGAAAGTTTCCAAACGTAATAGAGAGATGTGCTCACAAAAAAATGTAAACATACTGGGTGGGGCATGCCATATTGATAGAATTAAAAGCATGACACAGAGTAGGATCACAGATGAACAAGGAGGCTTTAGAAATGGTAGGGGTGTGTATATCAAGTTCTTACAATGAAGCATATAAGCGAATAGTATTTAGATAAGTGTAAAGAGTTTTTTGTTGCATTTATGGATTTGGAAAAAGGCATATGATGGTGGATGAGGTAGATGTTGCAAATGTATCGAATAGTTGGTAGGCTACTGAAAGCACTTAAGAGGTTTTATGAGGATAATGAGACTCAGAGTATGTAGAAGAGAGGGAGATAATTTCCCAGCTAAAGGAGGCCTTAGACAGGAATGCATGATGTAACCATGGTTGTTCAATATATTTATTGATGGGGTTGTAAAAGAAGTGAATGCTCAGGTGTTGGTAAGAGGTGTGGGATTTAGAGATAAAGAATATAACACAAAATAAGAGTTGTCACAGTTATTTTTTGCTGATGACACTGTGCTTTTGGGAGATTCTGAAGAGAAGTTGCAGAGGTTGGTGGACGAGTTTGGAAGTGCATGTAAGGGAAGAAAGTTAAAAGTGATTGTAGGAAAGAGCAAGGTGATGAGGATAACAAAAAATTTAGGTATTGAAAGATTGGGTATCAGATTGATGGGAGGGAGTATGGAGGAAGTGAATGTATTCAGATATTTGGGAGTTGACTTACCAGCATATGGGTCTGTGAAAGACTAAGCGAATCATAGAATTGATGAGGGAAATACAGGTGAGTGGAGCACTGAGGAGTCTGTGGAGACAAAGAACATTATCAATGAAAGCAAAGAGATTGTATGAGAGTATAGTGGTACCAACACTCTTGTATGGGTATGAGTGGTGAATGTTGCAACAGGAAGGCTGGAGGCAGTGGAGATATAGTGTCTGAGGGCAATGTGCAGTGTGAAGATAATGAAGAGAATCCATAGCTTGGAGATTAGAAGGAGGTATGTGGTTTCTAAAAGTGTTAGAGGTCATAGGAAGAGTTGCTGAGGTGGTTTGGACATTTAGAGAGGATGGAACAAAATAGAATGACTTGGAGGGAATATAAGTCTGTAATGGAAGGCAGGATAACGATTATCCTAGAAAAGGTTGGAGGGAGGGGGTAAAGGAAGTTTTGTGTGCAAAGAGCTTGGACTTCCAACAAGTGTGTAAAGTGTTAGGAGTGAGTGGAGACTAATAGTTTTCATGATTTAACATGCTGTTGGAGTGTGAGCAAATTAACATTTTTGAAGTGATTCAGGGAAACCAGTTAGCCAGACTTGAGTCCTGGAGGTGGGAAGTACAGTGCCTGCACTCTAAAGGAGAGGTGTTGATATATTGCAGTTTCTTAAGTGTAGTGTAGGCATACCTCTGGAGTGAATGATGAAAGTGTTTCATCTTTTTCGGGTCACCCTGCCTTGATGGGAAACAGCCAATGTGTTAATAAAAAATAAATAAAAACATTGACCGATATAAGGTAATAGACGAGAATATTTTGAGGAACTTTTAAATGTTGAGGAAAAAAGGGAGGTGGTAATTTCATGCACTGGCCAGGGAGGTATACCATCTTTTAGGAGTGAAGAAGAGCAGAATGTAAGTGTGGGGGAGGTACGAGAGGCATTACGTAGAATGAAAGGGAGTAAAGCAGCTGGAACTGATGGGATCATGACAGAAATGTTAAAAGCAGGGGGGGGGGGGATATAGTGTTGGAGTGGTTGGTACTTTTGTTTAATAAATGTATGAAAGAGGTGAAGGTACCTAGGGATTGGCAGAGAGCATGTATCGTCCATTTATATAAAGGGAAGGGGGACAAAAGAGATTGTAAAAATTATAGAGGAATAAGTTTACTGAGTATACCAGGAAAATTGTACGGTAGGGTTATTATTGAAAGAATTAGAATTAACACAGATTGTAGGATTGCGGATGAGCAAGGAGGTTTCAGAGTGGGTAGGGTATGTGTAGATCAAGTGTTTACATTGAGGCATATATGTGAACAGTATTTAAATAAAGGTAGGGAAGTTTTTATTGCATTTATGGATTTAGAAAAGGCATATGATAGAGTGGATAGGGGAGCAATGTGGCAGATGTTGCAAGTATATGGAATAGGTGGTAAGTTACTAAATGCTGTAAAGAGTTTTTATGACCATAGTGAGGCTCAGGTTAGGGTGTGTAGAAGAGAGGGAGACTACTTCCTGGTAAAAGTAGGTCTTAGACAGTGATGTGTAATGTCACCATGGTTGTTTAATGTATTTATAGATGGGGTTGTAAAAGAAGTAAATGCTAGGGTGTTCGGGAGAGGGGTGGGATTAAATTATGGGGAATCAAATACAAAATGGGAATTGACACAGTTACTTTTTGCTGATGATACTGTGCTTATGGGAGATTCTAAAGAAAAATTGCAAAGGTTAGTGGATGAGTTTGGGAGTGTGTGTAAAGGTAGAAAGTTGAAAGTGAACATAGAAAAAGAGTAAGGTGATGAGGGTATCAAATGATTTAGATAAAGAAAAATTGGATATCAAATTGGAGAAGAGTATGGAAGAAGTAAATGTTTTCAGATACTTGGGAGTTGACGTGTCGGCGGATGGATTTATGAAGGATGAGGTTAATCATAGAATTGATGAAGGAAAAAAGGTGAGTGGTGCGTTGAGGTATATGTGGAGTCAAAAAATGTTATCTATGGAGGCAAAGAAGAGAATGTATGAAAGTATAGTAGTACCAACACTCTTATATGTGCGTGAAGGTTGGGTTGTAAATGCAGCAGCAAGGAGGCGGTTGGAGGCAGTGGAGATGTCCTGTCTAAGGTCAATGTGTGGTGTAAATATTATGCAGAAAATTCGGAGTGTGGAAATTAGGAGGTGTGGAGTTAATAAAAGTATTAGTCAGAGGGCTGAAGAGGGTTTGTTGAGGTGGTTTGGTCGTTTAGAGAGAATGGATCAAAGTAGAATGACATGGGGATCATTTGAATCTGTAGGAGAAGGAAGGCGGGGTAGGGGTCGTCCTCGAAAAGGTTGGAAGGAAGGGGTAAGGGAGGTTTTGTGGGCGAGGGGCTTGGACTTCCAGCAGGCTTGCATGAGCGTGTTCGATAGGAGTGAATGGAGACGAATGATATTTGGGACTTGATGATCTGTTAGAGTGTGAGCAGGGTAATATTTAGTGAAGAGATTCAGGGAAACCGGTTATTTTTATATAGCCAGACTTGAGTCCTGGAAATGGGAAGTACAATGCCTGCACTTTAAAGGAGGGGTTTTGGGATATTAGCAGTTTGGAGGGATATGTTGTGTATCTTTATATTTATATGCTTCTAAACTGTTGTGTTCTGAGCACCTCTGCAAAAACAATGATTATGTGTGAGTGAGGTGAAAGTGTTGAATGATGATGAAAGTATTTTCTTTTTTGGGATTTTCTTTCTTTTTGGGTCACCCTGCCTCGGTGGAAGATGGCCGAATTGTTGAAAAAAAAAAAAGGTGCTTCTTGCATAAATTTTAGATTGTATTGCTTTATCTTTAGTTTTTCAAATTCTTCGTGAAAATAAGTACTTATCAGTACTACTACCAAATTCAAATTAAGGTAAATCAGTGATAAATTAATGATTTCATTGTATTTGTAGTTGGCTGGTTTTACTGTTAGCTAGATAAAAGTTGAATATCATAATTTGTGCCACCAACATTTGCTTACAGTGTATTTTATTGTTAATAATCATTTAATTAGCATTTTGTTGAGTGCATTTGATTTACTGATATTCATAACTAAATGTTTTTCAGGCTAGTGCAGTTCCATCACCATCACTAGTAACTAGTGCTGGCTATACTGGATTAGGAGTCCAATTCAGTGGAGCAGGATGCCCAGGCATTGTGGACAGCCGTGATGATGCTATGTCCTCTTCTTTTGTTGTAACTTCACCGCCAAGACACACAGTTAGGCACCGTCCTCCAGGTGTACTTCCAACCCATGAAGACACTGCTGAGGATCTTGACAACCTTGATGATGTAAGCTGCTTTTCCTCTTCTCATTTCAAGAGTCTAATTTTAGGCTTCAAAAACTATCCCAATTGGAGTAGTTCACAAATTTAAAAATTTGAAAAGTTTCCTTTAGCTAATTTTTAACCCTTTCAGGGTTGAACCTGAAACTTGCTCTCAGGGTCAGAGAATTTAAAAAAAAATTGTTATGAAATGATAGACAATCTTTTTTATGAAGGTAATGAAACCTCGAGTACAAAATTTGATGGAAAACTTATGGAATTACGCTCTCGCAAAGTTATCATTCTCAGCTGCATTTACACTTCGATGATTTCGCCCACTTTGAGCCTTGTTTTTGGTCAGTTCCATTGTTCCAGTCAACGAAATTCGTAGTTATTTCATTAGCATTCCGTTATTCTATTGATTGAGTACAACTGCCCATATACCTATTTCAACTACCCAAAAAAGTGATCAGAAATCAGCAATTTGGCTAATTTCACACAAAATTAAAAAAATTGTCATTTTCAAAATAGGGTCCAGAATAAACAATGTAGGCATACCTATAACCAAAACAACATTAGTCACATGCTCAAGCCTCTCCTATATTATGCTTGCTTTCCATTTTGAATTTTTACTAACTTAAAATAGAAGTTTAACCCCTTGATTGTCGCAACCCTCGATCCTGAGGTGTCTCCTGGTGTCGCAGAATTTAAAAAAAAAAAAATTATTTTTTCTTGTGAAATGATAAAGAATCTTTTCCCGATTGTAATGACACCAAAAAAAAAAACGAAATTTGATGGAAAACTGATGGAATTACACTCGTGAAGTTAGCGACCTTGGCAATATTTACAAATCGGCAATTTCACCCACTTTGAGCCCTATTTTTGGCTAATTCCATTGTTCAGTCGACCAAACTCATAGCTATTTCTTTAGAACGCCGTTTTTTTTTATCGATTGAGTACAAGACACTGCCCATTTACCGATTTCAACATCCCAATAATGTGGTCAGAAATTTGCAATTTGGCCAATTTCATGAAAATTAAAAAAAATATGACAATTTCAAAATAAGGTCCAGAATGAACGATGCAGACATTCCTGGCTCTAAAATAACATTTTCTTTGTTCATCAGTCATGTCTCTAGGCCCCTCTGATATTACTCTTGTTTCTATTTTGAAATTTTATTTAAACAGAAAATAGAAGATTTACTGTTATGCAGACTACTGCAATACTGTAATAACTGTACAAATAATGTCAACCCATTCATGACTGCATATTAGAATGGCTAGGTGGACACTTATTGGACAATGACATCATTTCTTTACTTTTGAACATCGGCAAAAATCAAACATTTCCCCTACTTTGAGCTCCATTTCAAAGTTCTTTTTATAGTAAAACCAATCAAAATCACCTCCGTGCTGTAGATCTACGGCTTTACGTTGAGGATCCAAACCGTAGATCTACGCCAAAATTCTAGCGGCGTCAAATTTAGCATGAGAAGGCTGGTAGGCCTACATCTGAGAGAATGGGTCTGAGTGGTCAGTGTGCACATTATAGAAAAAATCTGGACGCCGGCATGGCATTGTGGGAACGCTGCCAAAGTAGCTTTGTTCATCGTGCCTGGCGGCAAGGAAGCTCTCACTCCCCACTCACTCTCCAGGCGAATTCTGACTCTCCTCTTTACAACTTACAGTTCTAAGACTGATGGAAGTGGAGCTGGTACCATATGGTACATTGGTGCCATGTCATGCAATGATATCATATGGTACAATGTGCCATGTGGTACATTGTACCATATGGTACGTTATACCATAGGGTACATTATACCATATGGTACATTGTACCATATAGTACAGGGTACAGGAACCCTAATGCAAATAAGTCTGTCTGACTTTTTTGGGTTATCCTAGGTTCTCCAAACATATTTATTTATTTATTAATTTGAACATGATACAGAGAGGTACAAAGGAATATAGTTATTAAAGTGCAGCATGCCAAAGCCCCTTGTATGCAGAGTATTATGGGCAGGCTTAAAATTAACTTAAGATTAACTAAGCAATGATATATTCAGTGGCAAAAACATTATTGTAAACAGATAACAATTTAGCACAAATGAGTATTACAAAGACAAGTCATATGGTCATTTGCTGTGTTGCTGTGCATTCAATAGAATGGAGTATTGTGTTAGGTAATGTAATTAAAAAAATAACAAAGTTTGATTGGGTTGCAGGTTAGACATTTATGAGATACAATAATGAGAAACATTTATGAGATACAATTTGTGATACAGTTATTCAGTATTTATTTAGTTGTGGGTGAGTAACTGATTTTTCAGAGGAGACTTGAATTTATAAACAGACAGTGTTTCTTTTATATTCACGGGTAATGAATTCCAGATTTTAGGGCCTTTTATGTGCATTGAGTTTTTGCATAGCGTGAGGTGGACACGAGGAACATCAAAGAGTGATCTGTGCCTTGTGTTATGGTCATGTGTTCTGTTGAGGTTGGTAAGGAGATGTTTGAGGGGAGGGTTTATATCAGAGTTAAGTGTTCTATGTATGTAGTAGGTGCAATAATAAGTATGGATGTTTTGTATGGTGAGTAGGTTTAGTTTTTTGAATATTGGTGGAGTGTGCTGCCTGTAGTGGGAATTTGTTATCATTCTGACTGCAGCCTTTTGTTGGGTAATTAATGGTCTGAGATGGTTTATTGTTGTTGAGCCCCATGCACAAATTCCATAGGTGAGATAGGGGTAAATAAGTGAGTGATATAGGGCCAGGAGGGCTGACTGTGGAACATAGTACCGTATCTTCGATAGTATGCCTATGGTCTTGGAATTTTTTTTGGAAATTTGTTGTATATGTGTTTGAAATTTGAGTCTATTATCAAGGTGGATTCCTAAGAATTTTCCCTCTGTGAGTTTTGTGATAGGTGATCCATTTATCATTATGTTAAGAGGGACATTTGTAGCTCTGTTACCAAACTGAATGAAGTAGGTTTTGTCAATGTTTAGTGTAAGTTTGTTAGTCCTCATCCAGGTAGATATTTTCTGTAGTTCAGTATTTACAGTATTGGCTAGCGTGACTGGGCTCAGGTGAGAGGAGACATATGTAGTGTCATCTGCAAATAGTGTGGGTTTGAGTAGTTGCGATGCATTTGGTAGGTCATTTATGTATATGAGAAAGAGAAGAGGGCCTAGGACACTTCCCTGTGGGACACCAACTCTAATTGGCTGTGCGGAAGAGTTTGCCCCGTTTGTGTACACATATTGGCTTCTGTTGCTAAGGTAAGACTTTAGGTAGTTGAGGGAGTGCCCTCTTATACCATAGTGCGACAATTTTATATGGAGCAAGTCATGGTCAACTGTATCAAAAGCTTTACGTAAGTTAATGAAGATCCCCCAGTGGGACTTCTTTTTTCTCTATTGCAGTGTATATGTGTTCTAGCATGTGTATAATAACATCGTTAGTACAGTGGACTCTCGACCAACAATGGCATTGTATAACATTAAATCCGACTAGCGATACATTTTAACACTAACATTTTGCCTCGACTAACGCTAAAAAAACTCGACTAACGATATTCGTTCTCGGGTACCAATTAATATCGTTAGTCGAGGGTCCACTGTATTTTTATTAGGCCTGAACCCAAATTGACAGGGGTTGAGTATGTTGTGGGAGATGAGGTAGGAATAGATTCGCTTATGAATTAATTTTTCGAAGATTTTAGAGAGAGGGTGTAAGTTGGATATTGGCCTATAGTTATTCAACTCTGTTTGGTCTCCTCCTTTATGGATCGGGGTGACCCTTGCTATTTTGAGAACTGTAGGGAAGGTAGAGGATTCTATGGATTTGTTAAAGAGTGTTGCAATGATTGGTGATAGCACTTGTGACACTTTTTTGTATATAAAGGGTGGTAAGGTATTTAAATCTCCTGTCTTGTTTTTTAGTGTGTTGATGATAAGGGAGACTTCAGTAGGGTTAGTCAGAGCTAGGAACAGTGTGTTCGGGTAGTTGCCAGTAAGGTAGTCATTGGGTGGGGTATCTGAGCTTGGGATTTTATTGGCAAGGTTATTTCCTATAGTGGAGAAGAAATTATTGAGTGTTTGCTGTTTCAGTTAGTGGGAGTTGGGGTTCATCTGGTTTTGTTAATTCAATTTTGCTATTTCGTGATATCTTTTTTGTTCCTAGAATTTCTGATAGGGTTTTCCAGGTCTTTTTTATGTCACCTCGTAAGTTGGATAATCTGTTCTCATAATACAATTTTTTAGCCCTTCTTATCAGGCTGGTTAGGATTGACGAGTAACGTTTTGTTTGGTCTCTGGTTATGTGACCCATTCTGTACTGTTTTTCGTATAGGTGCTTTGTATTTATGGATTTGAGGATGCTGGGTTTTAGCCAGGGACTGTTCAGTCTCTTAGCTGTCATCTGTTTAGTTTTTTGGGGGCAGTGCTTCTTATAGAGGTATTGGGTCTTTTTTAGAAAATTATTAATACATTTGTCAATATCTGTATAGATTTCTAGCTCAGTGTGCCAGTCAATGTTTGTCACTGCTGCTGTGAAGTTATTAACCCCTTCAGGGTCCAAGGCCAAAATCTGAAGTGGTGCTCCAGTGTCCAAGAAATTTTGAAAAAAAAAAAATATTTTTTCTTACAGAATTAAAGAGACACAGACACGCACATGCATATATATATATACATACATCTAGGTTTTTCTCCTTTTTCTAAATAGCTCTTGCTCTTTTTTATTTCTTCTATTGTCCATGGGGAAGTGGAAAAGAATCTTTCCTCCGTAAGCCATGCGTGTCGTATGAGGCGACTAAAATGCCGGGAGCAATGGGCTAGTAACCCCTTCTCCTGTATACAATTACTAAAAAAGAGAAGAAGAAAAACTTTATAAAACTGGGTTGCTTAAATGTGCGTGGATGTAGTGCGGATGACAAGAAACAGATGATTGCTGATGTTATGAATGAAAAGAAGTTGGATGTCCTGGCCCTAAGCGAAACAAAGCTGAAGGGGGTAGGAGAGTTTCAGT